TACTGTGGTAATTCTGGATACTAGTTACCCCCCAAAACCTACAGGGCTTGTTGATGTTGCTTGCTTATTTATGGGTATAGTATCTTGACTAGATGATTGTAGTGAAGTTCATTTCACCCAGTGTTTGAAGCCTGTGATGTTCCTCAGTGTGGGCAGCCTTGGGCATGTGTACAATCACCCTGGTATGACGGTGGTTTTATTAGGGTTCTCTTCGACACTTTCTCTAAATTTTCTGTTTAAGTTGTCCACGTCTGCTGGTATCACACCCAGCTATTAACCGCCACTAATTTCCAGCTGATTGCTTTATTGTTTTTGACAATGGCATGAGGCATAAATTGTTCCTAGTTAGATCTATTTGAGGCCCCTGCGGGAATAGTTTTTGAAGCCAGTCTTTGAAACTTTGTTCTGACACCAGGAAGGCACACTTTTTTTCTGTCTCTCTCCCTGTTTCTCCCTTGCAAGCTAACTGGCCTAACGTTTAGCTTGCTGCTCTCATGAAGCTACCAGCTTCCTCTTAACTAAGGGAGCCTCTGTATCCTTGGCCACACTTGCCTGGAACTTAAGCTCCTCAACACATAGCTGGCAGAGATGACAAATGCTGATGAGTTGCTTCTCCCAAGGAAATACCATATCCCTCAACTGGAAGCTGAGGAGAAAAGAATCCCTGTGTTCTTGATGAAACTGATGGAGTTGAATTTCTGTCATGCTGACCTGGAGGGGGGAAGGGAGGGAGAAGGTTGTGGTTCAAATGTCACAGAATCTCACTATTTTTTTTACCAAGTTTTAGTAGATTTCCTTGACTAACAAATCTGTTTCTTCATTTGCTTCAACCCTTAGACACTTTCCAAAGACTCCAGATGGTTGATTTAAAATAATTTCCACCAGTGATGCTTGTTTTCCTGGGGAGCCATTCCACAGAGCAGCTCATGCCACCATGTAGGAAGCTGCCCCCCTACCATGCTCTTTTTTCTGCTGCAGTAGCTAAGCTCTAGAATTTGGGTCTCAGGCTGCTTCAAGCAATCATTATGCTCATGGAGTGAGACTTGCAAGGGACTGAGTGAGAGACAGTCAGAGCCTAGATGACCCTGTGGGGGCCCCTGGATCTAGCCATGCTTGGGATCAGCCCTATCATCTGGACTTGACAGTCAGATAAGCCAATACATTTCCTTCTTTGCTTAGCTAGTGGAGTTGAATTTCTCTCACATGTAACCAAGAGTTGTAACTCATCCTGAATGTCAAACCTTTAATAATTTTGTAGTAAATGATAGGTCCTGTGGAAAGCTTGTTCAATAAAATTGGTGACTAGGGTCATTTTCCTGTGATCTTTTTGGTAGCTAATCTCATCCTGAAATTTATGGCATTTTGGTGCTTAATGAAATACGTGGACATGATTTATGGTGATTCCAATTGATATTCCTCTTAGTAAGGATTTTTAATAGAGTCCTATAGGTTTGTCAATATTTGGTGATATCCAAAAGGTTGGTTTCAAGAAAACCTCAATGTTCATTTCTACAATATCAATAATAATATAGAGGCCTGGCCTAAATTATAAAAAGATCTAATCAGCCACATAAGACCCCTTTTTCCATTAGCCTACAGCTAATTCATTGGAGTATCTCTGGTAAGTAAACAGTTTTGCAAATATTGGAACCAGTCACAGACTGCTCTAACAAACTATAGGCGGAGAAGGGGAATATTTGTGGCTCATCATGTGATATAGAAAATGTAGGTAGACTAATTTCTGTGGTTATTTGGCATCATACTTCTTTGAAATATTAAAGAAGGGGATAAGTTTGTTGGAAACACAGAATCAGAGAACTCTCAGGATGAATTTACAGATTAAGGTTGTAAACAATTTCATCCTGCCTCTCTTGACAATATTCTCCCCTAACTACCTCTAATATGGACGCTCATGGCAAGTGTTGGGCACAAGAAAGACATTAGACATTATTATAAACTTGGAACTTATTACAACTTGGTTTTAGAAGACTTTCTCCCTGGGTAAGGCCTGGAAAGTGCCTTCACCTACCTCATATTTCCATATGGGGTGCCACTTGCCAATGAAGTCTTCAAGATTCTGCAATCCAGTGATCACTGTCATGTTTTAAAAACCTTCAGGATCTCCAGAGGACCACAGTTATTGAGGAGATGGGTTTTTGAAATCAAAGAGGCATGTGTATAACAAAGTTATAGATCCATTATAAAATCTTACTAATTCCAATTAAACAGTGGGAAGGTGATAAGAAGTCAGGAAATTCAACTATTCTTCATGAGTACAAGCCTTCTGGAAAAAGGGAAACGTCCTCCAGGATCCATTTTAATGAACAGATTTGATTTATTTGTAAGTGGCATATTGTTTTAAATACTTTAGCTTCTGAATTACCTGGAAGCAGTTGCATCTCAGAGAGCTTAATCAAGCCATCTGCAGTTTCTTTTGTAGTAATAATGGCCCTGCTTTTAGGACCATTATTCACAGAAATAGAAAAGTAAATACCAACTAATTTTTAAGACTTCATAAATCATGAGTTTATGGGATCTGAATTCCACTAACTATACTTGAGAATCTAATAGGCTTGAGCTGCATAAACTTGTGCTCTGATATTAATTATTCTGACAGTAAAATCTTATGTGAGAAAGGATTTCCTCTATGGGTTTAGGGTAGATGACACCCTTTTTGATTATGTGGTTTTTCAGTCAATTGCCCAGCCACCTGATAGAGTGTTTGCTTTTTTGAATCTCTGTCTTCTCTGTGTTGCCCCAGCAGCACACTTGATTTGGTTTTATAGAGATGAATTCCAAGGAAAACATCCCCTAGACTTTATTTCAAGTTATCCTGAGGATCAACACATCTCAGTGATGCCCCAAAAATGCCATGTTCATAATCTGCTGTTATAATATACAACTCAGGGAAGGTAAATGTCCTGTCAACCACAATCTTTATTATTACTTAAGGAAGTCTAGTTTTCATTATCAAAAGTAGATAAGGAATGCCAGCACCCATTTGTCATTCAAAATGGAACACTTACTTAGCTGGGAATGATTGAAAACCATCATATTGGTGGGGTTGTTTTTATAACAGTGGTGATAAAGTCACAATTCAAGGACAGGGAAAATTCAGAGGTGGTTCCACTGGGTTGCTAATATTTTTTGGATAGATTAGAGAGGCAATTTTCCAACAGTAACTTTGGCTTTCTAATACTTTTTTCCCCCTAAAGCAGAGACAAGAAACAGAAATCTGACATTTTTTTCTCATCTGAAATGGTAATTAGTTTTTATATCACCAACCTAGAGATTTTAGTTCCCATTTGAGGTAGTCTTTTCTTACCCTATTTTTATGCAATTAACCCCTTCTCAACATGTACAAAGGGCTGTGACACGTGAAAAATAGGTCATTTAATGAGTGAGCGAGCTTGAGCAGCCGCTCTGCGCCAATAGTACAGCAGGCTTTGTTCTTCTTACAGGTTCTGTTCTGGGCAGGAAATGCTAAATTTGCCACTTGCCATTTAGGGTTGCAGACCAACAGATGGTAAGACTTCCCTGTGTGCCTGTCTCCCAGGCACCTCAAAATCAAAATATCACCCAAATTACACTCCTCCCCACCTTAACAAAATTAGTTTTCCTCCCATCTTTTCTCTCTCTTAATAGCACCACCATCCATTTAGTGGGTTGAACCACAAGAAATTGCCTTTTTGTAGGTCACCGAGAGCTGAATGTTGGTGATTTCAAACAGATCACCCTGGGTAGTCGTTCAGTTCAGAAACCTGGGTGAAATCCTTATTCCCCTTATTCCGTGGGTGAACCTCACTCCACTTCAGTTCTTATAACCAGCCAGCCATGAGGACTGATAAATTCTGTTTCTCAGGCAGGTTCTGAATCCACCCTGCAAAGCAACCAGCAGAGCCCAAGTCATCCATAATCACTCGGTAATTCCACTGTCCACGCAGAAGCCAGGTCAGGCCATCTCACTCCCACGGTACAAATCAATCAACAACTTCTCAATGCCCTTAACACAGAGACCAGACAAGCCAACATGGCTTATAGAGGCTCCAAGCTCCCACCCCTGTGGACCTCTTCAATCCCACCTCCATCTATTTTCTAGTTATTGTACTTTCTTTTATTTTTCTCAAATATGCTCCTTCCCAACTCAAGAGTTTTTGTACGTACTGCTCCATCTGCCTGGAGCCCTCTTCTCTCTCTTTACTCCCGAGACCCTTATCACTCAGGGATCCCGACTTCTCCATGACCCCTCCCAGCTCCTCGCGGGAGGCCATGCTACACACGTCCATGAGACTCTGTTCTCCACCTCCTCACAGATCATACTTCTAATTCCCTGTACGAGTCCTGCTAGGCCCAGACTCCAAGGGGGCAAGACCACAGCTGCCATGCTGGGCCATCACTAAGCTGCCATCACTAAGCCAAGGCCTACCACCCAGTGGACATTCGGTGTAAGTTTGCTGAAAGCATGAATCCCTTACGAAAGTCAAGGTTGCAATTCACAATTCAAGGTTGCCATCTTCGTTTCATGATAGTCCAGTTTTGATAGATACTCAGTGATTTTTCTATTTAAAAAGGAGACAAAAATATTCAATCAAAAAACTCACAACTGAAAGGCTGAACCAGAACTCTGGACCTTTTCTGAATTATTCTTGCATGGTTACATCTGGTAGTAATCATTGTTATAAGACAAATGATAATAATCAAAGTTAACATTTACTGAGGGCCAATGATGGGCCAAGCCTACGGAGGGAAATGAGACTTAGGAGAAGTGGGGATTTACTAAGGTTTGCACAGCTGGCAAATGGTGGAGCCACAATCCTAAATGCTTTGGAAAAGAGTTTCTAGAACACAGGGTCCCTGACCCTATCCCCTGAAGACTGAGTGCATCAACTGCGGAATCTGAGAAACACATTGCCAGTTGTCAGTAAAATATCTCTAAGCACAAGCCAGCTGATTTTACCATGTTTCCAAGAGCAATTCTCATTAAAAGCAGGCATTCCTACCGGAAGAAAGAGTCTCTGGGCAGCGCAGGGTTTGAATAATTTCTTCCATTCCTGAGGATTTCCAGCTGAAAATGTGATGGGATAGATTCTGTGCTCAAACTTCTTTGTATATAGGTCAGGCCACTGTCGTAACTGAAAAACATGGGAGACACAGGAGGGTGATTAGCCCCAGAAATACAGAAAACACCAGAAGCTTCCCAACAGTCAAATGGAAATCATTCAGGCAACTTACATAGAAAGTCTAACTTCACCACCACCACTACTGCTCAGTGGATGAAAGACCATTGCTAGGATTTAAAAAACAGCATCCTGAGTTGCACAGGATTATTTGGAGACTGGCACATAAACAGTGCAAGGGGAGTTTAGATTTGAACAAACTTCTAAGAAGGTAATTTGTAGTTGGGTAAGAATAAACCCCAAAAGATTGAGGTAGATTGCAACGACTTTCACTGCAAGCTAGTTTGTGATTACAAAAAAACTTGGGAACAAACTAAATGCTCAATTATAAGGAATTGGGACAATTAATTAGGATAGAACTATGAAACAGAGTATTGTTCAGAAATAAAGTAGGTTTTTACGCATAGATATGGAAAAATGGTTATGACATATAGTTAGGTTTTAGAAAAGGCAACATGCACAAAAACCCTTATAATATGGTTCTATCTTAAAGGGAAAAAATATATGCATATATATTTTATATGTAGATGAAAATCTGGACAGATATGCCCACATTGTTAAAAGTGGGCACTTGTGGAGGAGAGGGTGGTGACAGTTGTATTTTCCAGGTTTATATTTCTACATCCTTTAGAACTTTTACAGTGAGTATATGTTACTTTCTTTGCATATATTAATTTTTTAACAAAATTATTTTAATAAATAGACTTAATTAAATTAATTAATTTATTTATATTTTAATTTTGATATCATTAATCCACAGTTATATGACAAACATTATGTTTACTAGACTCCCCCCATCACCAAGTTCCCCCCACATACTCCACTGCAGTCACTGTCCATCAGTGTAATAAGATGCTGTAGAATCACTACCTGTCCTCCCCGTGCTGTAGAGCCTTCCCTGTGCACCCCCCACATTACGCATGCTAATTGTAATGCCCCCTTTCTCCCCTCCCCTTATCCCTACCTTCCCA